CTCTCTTTCTCTCTCTTTCTCTTTCTCTCTCTTTCTCTCTATCTCGGAGATAGCTAGACATGTCTGTAGCACATTCTCAATCCCCGCATTAGCCTCTCCCTCTCCTGAAAACCACCACCGTTGGCCGACGTGGGCGTCTTGCAATTTCGATAGTGCGGCAAGGGGGTAACAGGAAGGGAAATGCTACATCTCTCTTATCCGCAGTCGTATCTTTTATTATATATAGAAAAAAAGGGAGAGGAAACACGAGACAGAAATGGGAAATATACGCTGAAGGAGGAAAAAAGAACGAAGTCAGTCGCGAGGATTTATGTCGCGGGAAATGCGGAATCGATGCATATGATTTTATCGCGCGGATGTTGTTACGGATCACTCTTAGGATCTCACGTCTTGTGTCGCGATCGAACCTCTTTTTTTTTTCCAATACATGATGCGTTTGATTACCGAAATCATACGAAATACCGTACGCGGAAACCTTCATGAATTTATACGCGTACAGTCGCAATTCTCGAGAAACGTATCCGATGAGTTACTGTAAAATAAATTATATTTGTTACGTGCACATTGACCGTACGTGCTCGTACGTGATGCACTTCTGTGAGCAGTCGCATATACCGACTTTACGATACAACCGCGAGATAACGCTTTTTCCATCTCTCTTTCTCTCGCAAATGTTATTTTTGTTTTCCGAGCATTCTCATGAAAATTCGAATGCGCGTCGACCGAGTGTGCATCACCCGCGCATAGATCGTGAATACTGTATGCACGTGCGCGATAATGATCACCGATCTGTTGCGCAACCAATCGACAATAGCACAAATGAAAAATTGAGCAGGGGCATCTATAATTTGTATCTTGTGAACATTGTACACTCTGTATCTCTCCTGAATAAACACAAATAAATTTTTCTTTCAACTCCTTCAGCCAAAAAAACGAAACGTCGACCGTGTTAAGGCGGAACGATTTGAGTGACATCGGTAAATTGTTTTCAATTACGTGTGGTCGTTCCGTCTTGCCGTGATTGACAGATTTTATAAATATGACCCTATCCATCATCCCAGATATTATAACTATTCTTAACATTGTGGTCTATGTGCAGTCAATTATGGTACAACCTTTGACGTTTCATTGAAATTCTCCGTTTGAATGACAAATTTACAGTTTTCCTTGTCAATAATCATCAATACAATAATTATCAATCAAATTATCATAAGTACTGCATAACTTACTGCACAGCATTTTAAAGATATAATTAGGTTAATTTAAAAAGGTATTGTAATTCTACAAGATTTATGTGACATAATTATCACTTACAAGTAATAAATTGCAGAAACAGGTATGTATGTATTATATATGAACTATAAAGCGCTAAAGTATAGTATCAATACGTCGTATATATAATAAAGCTATATTGATGTCGATTTTTTAAATAAGCCTTTTTTATTGATTGCAAAAAAATAAACAAGGATTTCGTGCATCTTCTCGAATCACTAATAATGCATTCTCAGTTTGAAATTTATGAACTATGTGATTCTCGAAATCGCCTTTACCATCTGCAACGGAGCGCAGCTGCATCATACCGTTTAATTCTCCTTGCAGTTTATTTATAGGTAAATTAAATGAACCAGAAACACAAAGCGGTCGCGCTTCAGATATCCATAATTATCCTGTTGGAAACATTCGCGAAGAGATCATCAGAATTACCGTGCCGAACGTTTCCAGAGAAAAGATGTAAAACTTTCCGGCCATTAAGTATAACGGCTTTCACGATCGAGCAATGCACAGCATTAGAAGACGCACTGACTCGATTGTCATTTTATACCGGTAAAATAAAATAATTTTTCAAATAACATGATTTTAAAAATCACATACTGATTTGGAACAATTCATTACGTGATTTTATTATGTAACTTTGTGACGTGATTTTTTTTTTTTAGTATAGTAATGTTTCATGGCTGAGTTTCTGAGTTCCTTTATTACAGAGAAGCTCAATTGTGGTTTCTATTATTATGATGAATTGCAACGACTTGAGATTTAATTTTATATCATAATTTTTAGACTTTATTGTTATGAAAATTTCGTCCTACATGTTAACCCATGCGGAGTCCGATCGACAAGATATTCGTTGACAATTGCAATTAAGTTGCAATTAGTTTTTAAGATAAATTTTGTTATTTTAACGTTGTTAATTATTTAAAATGATGGCAATTAGTATATACCGTTTAAATTTAAATTTGTTAATTTTTAACATTGAGAATGATCCTTGAAGATCGAAACGTATATTTTAATAAAACTTGTTTATTGTTTTTAATATTTTAGCACTAAGTCCTTACTGGGCTCATATATAGGCCTATTTTTATTATTTTAGAAAAAATCAATTATTTTCTTTTGGAATAAATATGTCGCCAAAATTATAAAACATAAAAAAATATTTAAATAAAATGGCACAAAATAGACAAAATAGAGCGCAAAAAGGCGTCTCTGATATATCATGGGAATTGATATGTTACCTCGTACGGAAGAGTACAATTGTCGGGACCTGTCGAAAATGTTACAGAATCCTTCGTTATTTACAGGATAATGTCAAGTCACTGGAGATTTTAATGCATGGCATCGAGATATTGTAGAAATTAATTAGCAAATAAGTATTATACTTTATTTGTTTAAGTAACAACAATTTTATATCTGATATTTCTAATCAACGATTCAAGCGTAAAATTTTAAATAAAAGTCGCTTGAAAGAGCTGAATTATTGTTGAAAAATCTAAATTTTCATAATATTTACTGAATATAATGCAGTTGAAGAATGCAGTTTCTAAAACAGTAAGTATAGACACAAAAAAAATTGATATTACTGACGTAACGAATAATATTGACGCTATGTTGCGCCAAATCATCCTACTTGTAGAATTATTACCATACTTCCCTCACGTTTCTCCTCATCATTACCAGCAAGCCACAGTTGATCTCTTTTCCGTCAGAACATTACATTTTTTCCACACGATTAATGTTCTCATAAGGTAAAATCATCTTAACATCTTGTTGATATTATGTATATTTTTTATTAAATTTATAATGAACAAAAATGTACAGCTTGTGATTTACATGATGTAAATAAAATTGGACGTTATTTTCCATCCACAAACCGGATATCGAAAGTACCAACTTGTTCTATGTCAACATATGCTCGTCATAAAATATTGCATAATCTTTCATCGAACCTGAAGTTTTAAATGATCGGAATTGCGAGAACCGCGAGTCAATTAATAAAATCAAATTTTTTCCTCTATTTCTCAACTTTGTGAAAATGATTGACAAAAATTACTGTGCGTTAAATGTGTCTATATTTTCGTTAATGATTCTTTTCGCTTGAATAATTCCAAACTGCACGTTCCAAATGCGCAAAACTTTTTCTGAGAAACAATAATGATTAGAAATTTAAATGTATTGAAGCACAAAAACAGTTTTCTTAGAATACAGAAAATAGCTCAACTTTTCGCGCCGGAAACTTCATGTATTCTTGTAATGAGTCTAAATTGATATTACTTTTTTACGAATCCCTAATTCCATGGTTCTCGATCGTGTGAAATATCGATGAAATGTCAATTCACTCGTGTGAATCGAACATGCAAGCAATTTTAATGACAAATTCTTCAGCAAATAGCGATTCTTTTTAATAGCTTTATTTCTGAAAGTACATCCTTCTTATAAGACTAATCAATTCAACGTTAATTATTGCATACAATTAAAATCTTTCTATTTTGTTTATTTTATTTTTAAAAACATATTAGAAGGATTATTTTAAAACTATTTAAACTATTAAATATTGTCTTCAAAACTTACAATTAGTTATTTGTAAAACAGAATCATTTTCTCAAATAATTTAAAAATTTATATTTCTGTTTTTACGACAATAATACCGACAATAATATATATTTATTTATTTATTACTACAGTGATTGAGAAATAATTCTTATGAAATTTTACATTATGTTATCCTATAATGGGATGCGACATTCGTAATATAAGACTGCAAGAAATTAAGAATTTTGCAACCTCTGCGGTAAGTCTTATTAACGCACGTTACTATGCTTATGTGTGAAGGAGATGGCTGTCTGAAGGATTGGAAGAAACACACAGCAAAAGCTCTTTCAGGGTCGACGAAGAGCGCGTGTGCAATATATTGGAGCTTACATCACGAGCAGACGGATGCAACTAGCGTCATGCAGTTAGCGTTTTGAGAGCCAGCCAGTTACACGGCACTCGTAAAAAAATCCAGTATATAGTGATCTAAATAATTATTGTCCAACAAAATTTGATCTTTTTTTTCATTACGAGCATAAATAGTCAATTTCGATATACTTTTACTTGTTGAAGAGGAATCCGTTTTTAAAATTTAGCTATCACACCATAATTTTTTAAAAATAGCAGAAGCAAGAAATAACATTTTTGACAGTTTTTTATAATATTATAATATTTTTATTCCAATTTTTTTTTAAGTTTCATTAATGCCACGCGAAAATATTAACATTTAATATATTTTTTGTATTTGTAATATACACATATAAACATACATATAGATACCTACATGTATTACATGGTAAATTTTTTAATTAATATATCTCAAAAATAAAAAATCATACAGGAACGAACAAAATGCATTTTAAAGCTAAAATTTGATATTTTCACATGGCATTAATGAGATATAGAAAAAAATTAGTATTGATGCTACATTATACTGTATTATGAAAACCATCAAAATTATCATGTTTTTCTCGTTAATGCTATTTTTTTCAAAATTGTGACGTGCTAATCAAATTTTGTTAACCAATTCATATTCAGTAAGCAAAAATACGTCAAAAATAATTATTAACATTCATGTTACAAAATAGTATTAGACAGTGTTTCTTAATCCCCAATTAAATTTAAAAAATATAATTAATCTTTTGAAAAATTAAATTAAATTTCGTAACTAAAGGAAGCAAATACATTAAAAAATTATGAGATATAAACATATCGTACTCGTCGGTGCATCACTGATTACAATACTCTGCTTGCTTTCTGGACTTATGTATTATTTAAATCAAGGTATGGTTTATTTAGACCTACATTGTTAAAAATTTCATGAAATTTAATGTACTTTTAAATTACACAATCTGAATTTAATTTCACGATATTACATTAAATTTAATGTATTTATAACTGAAAAATATATTTGTGTACATATACATGAAATTTAATTATTCATGAAACTTTATGAAATTTAATATACTTTTCATAAAATTTTATGAAATTTTATATACACGTTTATTACATTTAAGTAACTGCTAGTAGTAGCTTAGTTTTCAGTTAAAACATTCATTACTTTTAATTTCGTTCGCGAGCTTCATTTACATTTAAAGGAAACATTTCTAACAATGTACAAATGGATTTATTTAAACAGATCTCATTATTAACTTTTATTACTCCAAATAATTTTTCAAGAGATTATATATACTTTAAATTTACTTCTATAAGATATTTTAACAAAGATTATTAGCTTTGAAGAGAAAGATAAATATATATATTATAATATTATTATATAACATTATAATTAAATTTCATTAATTATAAATATTGTTGACAGTTCTGATTAAAACGCTGAAAATAAAAATTTATTATTTTCTTATTTGTAAGGAATATCCATTGCATATTTTGGAAAAATTCGTTTATGGTAAATATTGTAAAAAAAGAAAATGTGTATGACTATATAAAATCTTTATTTATTATTTGTATTTATCTAAATATCTTTTTTTTTCATGGTATAGCAGACCATAAGTGAATAAACATTGTCAACACGTTTAACAAACTACTTAATAACTATTTTCTATTCCTTAGCACGTATTCGCCGTTTTTTTATAAGATAAAAATGCGTCCTTCGAAATATGGCGGGAGACTAAAGATTACATTGTTAACACAAATAAAAACAATAGCATGTTAAATAATCGTCTACATACGTGATAAACATTTTCGCAGAAGAACAATTCTCGCAATTTTATGATACAATTTACTACGAAAATGTAATTAAGAATCTAACCATAAAAACTGTGACATATTTTCGCTAAATTTTATATTTCAGATAAATGTCCCATCGGTACCTTCCAGTGTCTCAACAGCACCACATGCATGCCGCAACGTAGCTGGTGCAATGGCGTCCCGGATTGTCCACATAGCGACGATGAATCCACAGAAAATTGTTGTATGTTTCAAATCATATCTACATTAATTACTTAACCATAGTTCTTGTCAAGTCTATTTTAATTTTAATTCAAATGGTAGTACAAATTTTATTATTTCATGAAGACTTGATTATTTGTTACTCCACAAACATCTTAATAACAACACATATTTTGACTTGTTTTTACAATATACAATATATATAGTTACCTAAAGATTAAAGAGATTACTAAAAATTTGTCAATAAAATTCATTCATAAATTTTTTTATAATCTTTAATCTTGAGATAACTTCACATATTGTGAAAACAAATCTTAATAGCATTCTAATAGCGAATTTAGTTGGACGCATTAGTGCGCACTGATGCATATTAAAGCCGTATACTTACTAATTAATCTAAACGTAAAATGAAATGTAAATATATCGAATTATAAAAGATAGATTTTACTTAACAGTACAACAAAATATGTAAAGGATTTTACGGTTTAACCTGTTTTTATATTTATTATATTAAGTATCTTTACATCAAAGTATGTACGCATCAGTGCGTACTGAGTGCGTCCAATCGAATTCGCTATAACTTTCATCTATCGTAACTTTCATTTGTACGAAGCAAAAAAGATTATCCTAATTTTCTAATTATACGACAGATTTCGCTTCTCTAATTCATAAATTTTCTGCGCAGTTGACATGTACGGAAACTGGGATTGGTTTATGAAAGAAAGAAACTGGGGAAACTCAAACAATTGCGGTAACATCATAAAAATACACGACAGATACGCAATATTTGCTATGTATAACAATTTCTTTACTTTTCGTCGCAGATACATTTGACGCTCCAGTTAAATGCACCTACGATGCGTGTCGTGCAACTTGTACGAATTTTACCGATGTCCCTAAAAACTTGTCATCGAATGTAACGGCAATGTACGTTTCACAGAAAATATTATTGTTGTGACAAATCTTTTCATACAGCAAAACTTGTTACACGTTTGGTAACTAATAGTATTAACGATTCAAAGTGATTGATTTACTTGGTTATGGATGGATTTAAATCAATTAAATATGTATTCTCTGAGAGAGAGAGAGAGAGAGAGAGAGAGAGAATGACACTATTAATTACTCACATGGATGTACAACTTCTGCAGTTTTCTCACCGACAATTTGCTCACATATTTATCTCGCGATGCATTATCAAGATATCCAGAGATACGCTTGTTGTAAGTTGTCCTTGCTGTACATAATGTCTTTGTTTTTAGATGAAGAATATAGAAAACTGCATAAACTTTACAGTTTGTAATTTCAGATATCTCGATAATAATAATATAATCAAATTAGAAAAAGGAGTCTTCCTTCATCAATCTAAGTTGTTTTGGTTGTGAGTATAAATTAAATGATTAATAACACTTTGAAAAGTGTCTACAAATGAAACTCGTTTATCTGTACAGAATTCTCACAAATAATAGCATCAGCGAAATACTACCGGGACATCTAACGGGACTAGATAAATTAGAAACTCTGCTACTGGATCAAAATAAAATTGTGACGGCAGATTTTTCTGACCTAAAAGACAGCACTACTACATATTTGATGTAAACTGTCTCAGTATAAAACCATTTTATATAATTCTACTGTGTTAAATTATAAAAAATTATGGACGATCTCAACCTGTTAACTTTCTATCATTGTGAAATAAATACTTGCTTTCTATATTGTAAAATAAATATATACTTGCGTTATATATTTAACGCGTTTCTTTTTACTTAATATATGTTATTCATACTTTAACATTGTTATTTAAAATCTCCTTTTGTATTGTTAGTATTGTTTATAACTTTCAGAGGTATGTGATTTATACAAAATAAAGTTTGAAATCAGCTGTCGAAGTTGGATCTTCGTTGCTTAAATAATAATTATTTAAGCAACGAAGATCCAGCTTCGACTGTAATAAGCATTTTAAATTTCTAGTATTGATTGTGTTTCTCACATATACGGTCTAAAATAATGATATTGTTGAAATCAGCTGCTAATTTTCGAGTAATCTAATCTATGTATGATAAACACGCTTATTATTTACTGTATATAATCAGTGCGTCAGTCTAGAGCGCATCGTTACAAAAATGTAGATCTGTTTGTAGATTGCTTCCTTGATGCGTACGGTAATTTCGCGATAGCTTGAATACGAAACGACTAATATGCAAATTCCATGCAATGGAATCAGAGATTGAGGTAAATTGCAACAAAATATAGTTAATTGTGGAAATTTATCAGCGTCATTTCTTTCGAAAAAAAATTAATTTTCCACATGTCATAATACTTTTTTTTGGTTGTAAGAATCACTGTTAATAATTAGTATAATTAACCAATGTAACTGTTAGTAGGATTGCATCGTTCATAATCATATGATGTTGATTGATAATAAGTTTATCATTAATAACACGTTGACCTGCTCTTTTTTATTTACAAATAGAAACCTGAGTAAGAACATGTTAACAACATCCGCTTTAAAGCTGCCACGGTTATCGGAGTTGACAGAAATGTGAGCTTATATGTATAGATGTATATATGTATACATTTTTATATTTTTATTCATATTTCTACATATATATATATATATATATGAACATAAATAAAAATAGAAAATGTATACATATACGTTTGATTTTCCGAAATCGCGTTTTAGAATATTGGACGGAAACCACTTCGAGTCAATAACGGAAGATCTCTTTGCCGGATGCCCCGCTTTAAAATCACTGTACGTACGAAGTAGATTACGGAAGCGATTACTGTCATTGTTAATAAGATTCATGCGAGCTAACGGCTCAACGATGATTCAGGAGTATGGAGGACAATAGCATAAGCAGCATCGACGAGAACGCGTTTCGGAATTTGCAACAACTTATTGAGCTGTAAGTGCATAAATGTTAATGTGACTCGGTTTCAAGTTAACGGTACTAACGTTTGGTTATTGTAACTGAAGAATAAAATCTCGTGTCATTCCGATCGTCGATTCAATATTATCGTGTCAAATTGCGCAATCGATTATCTTTCAAAGTAACTTTCCGGATTTTTTTTATTCTAATCGTAATACAAATATAATTAAACACAGTGTTTAATTTTTTATTGTCTGTTTCTTTATATATTTGTAATTCGCGTCTGTTCAAAGTTGAAGTATTGAAGATTTATTACCGTACAACAGACGATGACGCAGATACAGTTAGAAATTGGAAACTACATTTTATCTCGACCGTTATTAATGGCAAACTCTACTGCATCTAATGGATTGACTATAAATCAGATATCAACGATCGAACACAATTAAAATACAGCCTTGTTTCAGTAACTTGGCATACAACAGGATAGTCACGATACCGTCAAACGTGTTCCAGTCCGTGAATAATCTGTCGAAGCTGTAAGTATAAATATCCGTGTTATAATATCAACCAGCGTGATAATCAGCCTTACTACAAAATGTTTAAGCTACATACGTGCTTGAGCTCTATTCGCTGATACTTAACGCTAAAGATCTGTTCGCGAAAGTGCTATGGAAACGTCACGTACTCGCGAGCGTAACCGGTTTTAATTATAATTTAAGCTTGTATGTGTAAACTGGAATCTGTTTGAAAATAAGATCCATTACTCTAGCAGTGCTAGTCATGATATAATCTCATCTTCTTCCAGATTAATCGGTTACAATCCTGTCGTCGAGTTATCAATGACGCTTTTTAATCCTTTGAATAATCTTCGCTCTCTGTAAGTTTCAAGCTACGTGAGCGGTTTTTCCGACTTAATAATAATAATAATATGAAACTATAGTAGCACAAACTTTTTATATTCATTTTATGAATAAATCTGTCCTTTATTAATTTATATCAGTACAAATTAATAGAATAAGTAATTAACGCTTTTTCATTATAAAACATTTCAGAAGTGTCGAAGATATAAACATGGATAATATGGATAAAAACGCATTCGACGTGTTTCCAAGGCTCGATTTCGTGTATGTTTTTTCTTGTTGTAATTATGTAACTATTGTAACTCATAGCGTTCTTTTTTATAAACAAAAGAATTTTTTATTTTTAAGATAATTAAAAAGTAGTGATCTTTGCTTTCTTGCAATCATAATGTAATTTTTCCAGAATCTTTGATATTTTAATATATTTTTCTGTATATTAATTAGATTTAAAATTCACTTTAGACTTGAAAAATAGAAAATAAAATTGAAGATACATAATTTGTAATTTCTAAATTCATTAAACTTTAAGACCACTTTAAGATTTCTGTTTGATAATTTAATTATAATCAATAACATAAGATATCAAATTTTTCAGATATTTCAAGAAATTTCACTACTGCATGACTTACGCGCCGAAGGTGCAGAAATGTAGACCAACTAGCGATGGTAAGGCGTACATCGCGATTAGATAAAAACTACTTAAATTGAAATAACAACTGATTAATTCAATATTGAATCAAAGGCGGCAAGATGTATGTCGAGGAAGATGATTCAATGCTCTCTCTCTTTTCCTCTTTTTCTCTTTTTCTTTTTCTGAAGGTGTGTCATCGATGTCTCATTTGCTGGACAAGCCTCTATTAAGGGCTGCTGTTTGGACCATATCTTGTCTCACTTGTCTCGGTAATAGCCTCGTTCTGTGGGGAAGATTTACCGCTAAAGATGAGAATCGTGTTTTGAGTATCATTATCCGAAATCTCGCAGGTAATTGTTTAAATGTATTCTTAGCGAGATATTTATGCAATTGCTGTGTAAAAAAACCTCTTCTCGTATTAAAAAAAAGACTACTAAAAAATAAGCAAATTGATAACAAATTATCGTCAAATTCAAACATTAAAAAAATTAGAAAAAACAAAATAATTTTTAAGTATCGCAGCATACAATAATTATATAAAAATATGGGGCTATGGTAAAAATAATTTTCTAATTTTATTATCTTAAATATCATCCTTTTGATAATAAACTGAAAGAAACAAAAAAAATGTTGAGTAAAATTTTTGAAAATTCAAAATTTACAATAACTGCTCGCTGCCGTTGTCTCGCATAATTAGACAGACATAGACACAAAATAACGACAGTATAAATCCCTATATTCAAATGATTCGTGGTACGTACCGAATCACGAAGTGCACGCGAGTTATCATAGTTTGCGGTTCACAATAAAGCGCAACACGATGATCGATCGAGCATATTAATGTTAGGCTCACTATAAATTACAGGACGGTAAAGTCACGTAATCCTTTATAGTATCCGACATGTTGATGGGAATATACCTCTTCATAATCGCCATAGAAGATGCGAGGTTTCGCGATAACTACAAAGAGGAAGCAAGTATATGGATGTCCTCATGGCCCTGCATACTCTTAGGAGCGTTGGCGATGACATCATCCGAGGTATGCACATTAACACCTTGCTGAATCCCACAATTTTCAATTCGCAACGTACAATTGCTATTTAACGGTACTATTTATAATGACCGCTTACGCTACTGTTCAGCGAAATCTGGACACCGTGACAAAGTCGACATATGTTAGCAATATTATATGTAATAGTATATTTAATTTTACGTAATTAACTGTAAAGCATTTGCGATTTAAATCGCAATCATCGCTCAAATACATATCGATACGCAGACCATATACTTCCTGAAACGAATTCAATAGATTTAAATATAACTGCCTTTTCGTGCGTTTCTAATTTTTTTTAATAGTTAGATATAAATTACAGTTAGACATAAATTGATATTAGAGAATATTTTTAAAAATATCAAAATTAAAATAGATGATTATAAATTGTTCGGTAAGGTTTCCATGCTTATCCTGTCATTTATGTCCGTGGAGCGATTTATTCTGATCGCAGCACCTTTGAAGTGTCATCACGCCATGACATCTCAAGCTGCAGCCTCATCGATGATCGTCATCTGGATCGGCGGACTTATTATCGCTCTTGCGCCAGGTTCGTTTACGCGAAAGAATGACTTTATTTCATTTTTTTAAATGTCTTTTTAATTAATTCTTCTTTGATTTTATCTATTATTTATTATATAATTTTATATATATATACTAATTATATCCTATAGTTCTACACAACATAACAAAATATAAACATCTCAATATTTTTCATATTTCAAATATTTATATGAGTCACTATAATTACACACATCATTTTAATAAACCTGAAGATTTTTTTCGACAGAAAATAATAACAATTTTCCATAATCATTATCTATGAATTAATTGTTTCCCCTGGATCCAAAAGTTATCCATTGGAGAAGCAGTACAAAATTCTATGGTGTCAATGGAATGTGTTTTCCTCTACATATAGACGATCCATATCTAATAGGCTGGGAATACTCGGCCTTTATCTTTCTGGGACTTAATCTCATCGGGTAAACAGTGTATTATTATAAAAGCCTTGTAATTAAACCATAGATTAAATTATGCAATATGGAATATCAGCTGTCATTTTTGAGACTGTATTATAATTTATTGACTTTCTCTTTGATTTTCTGATATATCACAACAAAATTTCTAAAATTTGTTTAGAAAAATTGTATTCAAATAGCTAATTTTTTGAATTGAGTCTACAATGTGTAATTGCATCTAATTATTATAGTATCAGAATTTTCGAATATAAGTTCAATTATGTCAACGGTATAACATTCGTAAAAAAAATTTTAATCAACATGCCACGAGCTTGATCGATTCTCATTTCGTGATTGCCATAATATTACTTCGGAAGAAAGGAAGCCTTTCAAGGCTATCATTGCATTCATTTGCAGATTGATGATTATTGGTTACGTTTACATTGCAATGTTCACCAGCATCTGGAGAACGCGCCGTGCCACGCCATTGTCAGTCGGCGATTCTGAGTTCGCCCTCAGGTTCTTCCTAATCGTGTTGACAGACGCGGCATGTTGGGCACCGATTATAGCGTTGAAAATCCTCGCCATGATGAAATATCCCGTGCCACGTAAGCAGAAACGCTAATGAGAGTTTTCACGTTCCCACCGACTCCATTACAGTATCTCCGTTACAATCTTTGCTCGATAAATATGCATGCAAGTCTTTAAGCTTCATCTTTCAACAACTTTACATTTATAGTAAGAAATACACACACACACATACAAACGAATAAAATATTTTCTCTATTGTTTCATTCGTGAAAAATTAATCTAAAGAATTAAAATTATTATATCAAATTAAGAAAGAGAAATCTTATTTTTAGTCAAAGCGAATCTTAGTGCTTCAATATTCGGTGTGACTTTTAAAAACGTACCAATAGATGGCCCACCCTGTAAAAACGTACCAATAGATGGCCCACCCTGTATATATATGTGTGTGTGTGAATATACATATCCAATTCTGCAAACCGCGCGCCGAAATCTTTTAGTCTTGAAACCCAATCATAGACAGAACTAGACTAATGGTATCACATATTAATTATCTAAAGTAATGGTATCACATATTAAATTGATACGCTAAATAATCATATTTTATACTAATAAACATTTTATAAAAATATTAATAATTTGATTAATAAGACTCTTACTGGAAATAATTTTATTACGGAAATTATCTTAGCTGGGATTCAAACCCGGATCTCTTGTATTTCCAAGTCCTGTATTTCTATAAGTAGGCGTCTTCTCATTTCGACCACAGAGGCAATAACCAATAACTAATGAAAAAAATATCATGTTTCAAAGAGACGTGTATCCTACTTTCGATCAAAGCGGATCTTAGCGCTCGAATATTTCGGTGTAAATGTAATAACTCAAATTAAGAAAGTTAAGTCCTATTTTAGTCAAAGCGGATTTTAGTACTTATTTAAACACTAAGATCTGCTTTGACCGAAAATAGGATTTCTCTTTCTTAATTTAATTTATTCTCATGGATTTAATCTCGAATTAAAATTGTTAAAGTTACTACCGTTCAAAAGTATTTGCCTGTCCCGATTTTTGTATGTATTTCTTTTATATGCCTAAATTCCGTAATAATTCTATTATATTTTCTTTATATGTATATATAGAATGCAAAATTTAGAATCATCAAACATTATTATTATGTATGAATTACGTATAACATCTAGAAGAATAGAAAGAGCATTGAAAAATTTATTCTTCTTTATTTAAGTAATTAAGGAAGACAAAATGGGCAAATACTTTTAAGGGTAGTGTAAAACAGAATATATATATACGAATATATGTATATTAAAATAATAGGTATAAAATCTACGACAAAAATATTAATATAAATTCAGACATTTAATAACACAGTTAAATAATATTAATAGATGGATAAAATTTATAGCTGATTTGCACGCTTGGATAGTGATTTTTATTCTGCCAGTGAATAGTACGGTTAATCCGCTGTTGTATACTTTCACCACACCAAAATTTCGTGAAAAACTCAACGAGGGTTGGTTTGGAAAAGTATGCAGCTACATGTCGAGGAAACATTCCAGACAAGGTTTGTGTTCTAATATGAGTAACTATTTGAACTCTATACTTATAAAACGTTTATTGTTTTTGTTACAGATTCGCAGGAATCAGCTACTATCAATAAAACGGTTATTAATAAGAACATAGTACAGCCTATCTGGAACAAATATGATGATGATAAAAGGAAGACGGCACCTCTGCTTGACTTCGACGATGAAAAATCTTGATCCAGTTAGAGACAAGGCTGAAAAAGTTAGTTATTTTTTTAATTAATTATATTACGTTTCTATATTAAATGTTATATAAATTACTGGCGCCAATCGTGCATTGCAAAGCTGATAGGTTGTAATTATATAAATGATCTATCTTCATAACATACATAGATAATAGATAATCAGCTTAAAACTAACGATAGTAAAATTCTATTATTTATCATCTTTGAAGAAAGAAATCTTTACGAAATGAAAAATTGTTATGTAATTTTAATTGAACTCAATGAATTACGATACGCTCGAGGAAGTTTTTGTAACATACTATAATTATTTACTGAATAATTATTTACTGCTTTATTGATTGCTGCGAAAGATATTTTCATTCACTTTTTAGAAAATCCGTCTTATAAAATAGTGCCGTTGTTTAAAAATGTGTATCCCTCTCATATTTCTTCGGCTTTGCCAATACTATTTTACTAGCAGCAACTCGGCAAGAAGTTTAGCTTAAATATCTCTTGTGCTCTTATCCTCGTTTTCTCAGAGATTAGTCCCATAAGAAAGTTCGCCAGAATACGCTTGATTTCTGAATGTATTGTTTCGCGCATGGGTGATCCCGGTATGCGGATATTTCAATTGTACGAACTCTGATGGCCCCCGACGGAGTATCCACCCACGAGTAGAGAGATCGTGCTCGAAAACGTACATAAATTATTTTCCGACGAAGTCGGAAACGCGAAACGTGCTCCGAAAAATTTACGACATCGATTCTGATGTACCGGCAAATCATGTTCCGCCGATGTGGCACCGTTATGCCGGGTCAGCGCCACTTGTTCCGTATTATTATTGCGAGATGAGAAATTTATCTTCGAACACGGGCGTGACTTTTTAACGGCTCCACCGTTGTACGCTCTAAAACGGATACTACATCACTCAAATATACTCGATTAGTCGATGTAAGACCATCGGTCGGTGTGGCTATCCCTTGAAATGACTTATGAAGCGATAATAAATGACAAACATTGAAGAAAGCTAGGAATCACTGACAATTAATTCACATCTTTGTGAGAATACGCGTGTTGTTCTCGTCATCTTCGTTATCATACATTAAATTATCATAGTTATAAGAAAATTCGTATAGAATTTCAAATTGATAAAATTAACAGTCTTCTAATCAAATAACGATTTATAACAATCAAACAGAAAGGAAATTTTTCTTACAAATATAAATAATACAGTATAATATACTATTATTATTTATTAAATTTATATACGACATAATCGTAGTGTTCTTTCTATATAAAAAAGGAGACTTATAATGAATAATGTTATTAAACAGAAAGACATGCCGATGTAATTTTAAAAAATGCTTTCATAAAAAAAAAATTAAAAAATATGAAAAGTAGAAATAAAGTAGCAGAATTAACAGGCTTATTCGTTTACGAGTGAACTCTTCAATAATCCATTAAAACGCGTGGAGATATAAACAGCAAGAGATGCAACGATATCCGACTTCCAACTTTCGGAGGGTTACAGTCGGCCGTAAATCATGCGAACGGCCAAGAAAAATGCATCTCGCGAGCACTCTACGATCTACCGGCACGTGGGTTGGCTCTTACGCGATATAATGTGTAATTTATGGCGGATGGCCAATGGTAAGGTCCCGTTAAGGGGCCTCGATACTTCGCTCGAGACAGACCGCCTTTTAGGACTGACTTTTCTTCCGCCTTAAGCTGCTAAGATTTCTTCGGCTACAATACAATTACGCCACGTGGGCGGATATGCGTTATACGATTGTCCACGAAATCATCTCGGAATAAAAAAGAGAGGCAACATCTCGCTACAATGATGTGGGTAGGTTGGTAGGCAAACGGTGTGACGTATTGGTGCAAATATTATTGAATTATCGAGTCATGCTCTAAACAAAAGCTGATGTTTCATTGAAGATATCCAAGAGCCTTTCTTATCTGAAAAAGAAGACAAAAGATTTCTACTTCTCGAACTTTTTTTTGCAAATTATTACAAGTTTCTTACAGAAATTATATAAAATATACAAAGTAGATATATTTTTCTTTAGCGAAACACTGTCAAAAGTTCATATTAAATATTTCAAATAATAATTATTTCTAATAATTGATTATTAGTTTTATTTGATTAAAGATGAAGTTATCATATATTTTCAGAAACAATTGAAAAATTTCTTATATTAATATTTCTTATATTTTTTTTATATCTTTTAAATTAGTTCTTGCATGTATTTTAATTACAACGTTATATTACTTATAATATACATGACAAAGAGAATTTTCTAAGACACGATAACAGCGCTGGGGTACCGACCGGAAAGTAGGGGACGTGAAGGAATTTCCAATGAACGTACAATGTATACATACAGTGTCACATAGCATGAATTGTTATAGCTCTTGGCAATAGAGAAGAATATTTTGCACGCATGCACGCACACGCTTCACAAAGCGAAAGCGAACAAGATCGCAACCTTCCGAAGGCCTTCCCGAGAATTGCTCCAGGTAAGTACCTGTCAGTAGAATGCAGAAAAACGCCGTGCAATCATAATTTACAAGTGATAAAAGTACAACGTTTACGATATAAATATCAATCTAATGATTTTTGCCCAATGAAACTAAGCAGTTCAAATGAGATATACATCTATTTTTTTATTTTATCCGTATGAAGTCTTAATTCTTGTCAAGTAGACTATTATTCTGCTACTTTTAACGACAGTGTTGATAATATTGTTATATTATCGTTGCGTATTTTTTTTTATCATATTCATGATGATACTTATCTTGAGACACACATTTGACTTAAGTGCTAAACCGTAGGAGATATGAAAAAAGTAAATACACTTCCTTTATTATTTTTTAAGTAGAATCTGACAATGCAAACAATATTTATTTTCTGAATTTTATAACGTTATATTAAAATTATCTTGTGTTTTTTATATATAAATAAAATATTATATTTGTTGCGGTATCATAAAAGTATAGAAATAGTCTTTTTGAAATAATCTTAAAACAAAATATCATAATAATGACCCAGAAATTAACATAATTTAACACGGAATATAAAATATTTTGTAAATTATTAATTTATTAATAATCGTACCTTAACATTTTTACACACAAAATAAAGAAAGAAATGAATTGATGTAAGGAAACACATAGTTGCTTTTTAAATAAAGTATATATTATAGGTTTCTTTACATCGTCAGATCCTAAAAAATAATAAAGAAAGTGTATTTTAGCTTTTTTAGTATCTTCTACAGTTTTTGACAATTGTTTCAAACTTTCATCTACAGATATCCTATCCTGATAGAGCATAAAATAATAAAATCAAGATGAAGGCATTTTAAGAAAAATCTTAATAATATAGTTCGATACATTTTTTTACGATAATTTTGTGATAAATTTGTGACAATGTCAAAAAAAATTTGAACTAAAAAATTATAATACTTAAAAATTATTGTCATGTGAAGAATTCATCACAAAATTATTTTTCCTGAAATGACTTCATGTCACCATGATTTTATTATGATTGTGTCCTATTTGAATAATCCCTCCACCAACGACAATATAATAAAAACATTTGTCATTAAGAGTTACAGAATCAAAATACTGGGAATATAATATGATTTAAAAAACATTAAATAAATATATTTCTTAAGTAATTATACAACTTCCTTTTCCAACTTATTAATTTCCAAGTGGAATCGATGGACTCTTAAAAGTTGATCGAAGGCATACGTCTGTTCATGGGCTCCAACAATGGAAAGGTTTTGAAAACGTTAATAAAGTCTCGAACAGATCGCTCGCCAATCTACGAAATTGGCCGGCGCGATTCGCAAAGAGTTAAAGACGGCCATCAGACGATCTCCGGCGCGAAATCGATGCGAAAGAGCCGCCCGCGCCACGGATCTTCCTTCCCACAATTATAGGGTATAAAAATTCTTTCGGATTTCAGTCACGCGAGCAAAGGCTGCATTCGGTCCACGGGAAGAAGAAGATTTACGTGCGAGGCAGTAATTGGCGCTGGTTCGAATTTTTACAGCGTGGAGAATCTTCGGATATACAGCCTCCCGCGATAAGAGAATGTAAGATAGTGCTGTGTTTAAGATATCAAAGAATGCTCAGTTAACACGACTATAATATTTACGCTCCAACGCGATCATCGATGACGCTATGCAATAGTGAAAGCCAAATGTAGAGTTCTTTCTTTCATCGTAGTTCACCGTGATTACATTGCGTAATATGTTACATGCACGCCCAATATCGTACGATCATAAATATCTTACAATACTTAACATTAAAATACATTGCAAAAACATTGCAATGAAATATATAAATACAGTACACTGCAAGGAAACATATAAATCGAACAAACTATCGATAACTCGATCAATAATTCGTTGCGTATGTTATTAAGTTTCACCTTCTCATTTAATTATATCAATAAATTTCAAAGCTTTGAAATTCTATCATCGATATGATGCATTTTATGCTGCATAAAAAGAAAGAAACGTTAAGATAATAGATTACGAATTTATTCATTCATCTATTCCTTTACATGCATTCGTAATATCCCTCGATTTCTCACAGAATATTCTGTCGATTTATAAATACGTGCCGGAAGCGTACTCTAATGAACTCTCGTGGTGATCGTCGATCGACGATACTCCTGTCGATCATATCCTTGGATACCGTACAAAGAATCGTTCAAGATCACAGCAATAGTGATGAGACCAACGCGTTCACCTATTACATTCTATTACATAAATTACGTTCATTATGCCTGGCGATAGTCGACGCGAACGATGGCAGGCGAGATTGACGGGAAATAGATGATAATACTATTACCGATCACTAATAATCATATGTGTATAGTAATATAAGTCGCAAATAATTAGGTCGCGATAATATTCCCCAGAAGGACACGGTCATAAATTATTTATGGACAATAATAATATTATATAATTTTACATCGGTATTGTTATTCATTAC